AAATTTAGTGCTGCTAATGGGAAATGAATACTTCAGGCGAGCCAGGGATTTGTCCCGGAGTAGCTATTTCCAAAGCCCAAGCTGCATTTCCAGCACCCCAGGCCCCCAGACTCACAGTACAGTTGGGGCAGGCGCTGACCTGAATTCTTTCCCTCAATTTTCTTCTTTTTTTTTTTTTTCCTTTTTATTATGCTTTCTGAGTGAAAGCACAGCTGGACCCCTGCATAACAAAACCCATCCGTGCACAGAATAGCACAAACGATACTGAGCCTCCCCTGCTCACCAGCACAACGCAGGTTCAAGGCAAATACCCGGCGGCTGCCTGCGTGATCCAGCCAGAGCTGCAACCCTTCCAGTAAGAATGAGGAGCCTGAGCCCACGGCATTGGGATTACCACCTTACTTCTGGAGCTGGCCCACCCACTGCATAAGGCTCTTCAAAGTAGTCAAGTGCTTCTGTGCATTTCCAAACAGTTTACATTTATTTTGTAGAAGGGTAGGGTTTGTTGGTTTGGGTTTTTTTAAGTCCTGCTTTCCACCAAGCTATTCTTTACCTTTCAAAGCCAGGTTCTGTCTGTGCAGGCACACGGCTGCGACAGCACAGCTTGGCCATGGAGCTGCACCCCTCTCTCTACATAGATACATATATATATGTACACGTATCTACCCTTTTATGTGTGTATATATATATGCATACACATACCCTTATGTACACCTCTTTATATCTATATGCATATATAAATATTTACATAGAGCAGGAGTGAAACCCTGCGGTGTTCACATGCTTTGATGGGGTACACCCTCCCAGCAGCAGGGTCTGTCTCAGGGTCTCAGCCCAGTTACCGGCTGACCATCCCCATCCTCCTTCCCTGCAGGTCCCCCGTCCCCCCAGGGCATCAGGGCTTGTCCCTCTGCACGCTGGGTGCCTGGAGGGTAAAGGACGTGCACACGGGAGCCAGGTTTGGCTCCAGAGAGCCATAACTAGCTCTTGAAGAGTCTGGCCTGCTAACGATTCCGAACAGAAATGTTGTGTTTGAATTTCCAAAGGGGTCTCTGACATTTACTCAGTGCACACATGACCTGGGTACTTGGAAAATTTTATGTCTATAGTAAAGAATTGACACTGGAAATGCCAAATCTTTGCAGTACAATATCCCTCTTGCAAACCGAGTGTGGAAGCTGCTTGGCAGCTCTGGAGGAGGTTGCCCAAGCCCATGGTACAGCCTAGAGAGCATCGTCGGGTCCCTGCCCCCAGCTACTCCCATTGTTTCCAGCCCTCACTTGCCTGCCAGCACATCACTCAACTACACGCTCTACTTAACGGGCGGGCAGCCTGAAGGCAGAGTGGCCACATCAACACATGGAGCCACAAAACCAGCTAAAAACTCAGCCTGCTCGGGATGGCTCATCTCCTGGTTCAGACCTCGGGCTGCTTAAAAGCATACAGCCTCTGGTTTGGTTGCTGGACCCACTGCAGAGCAGTGATTTGTCTGAATCAGCAACAGTTCATGAGACCCGGTTCTCCTCTACCCCCTAAGAAACAAACAAAACCTCACAAAAAACCCCACCAAGCAAAAGTAATATTTACATACACACATTTACATCTATTTTCTATTTTGCATCTTCCAGGTGTACGCATATGCCTAGATATATTACACACACATCTGTATATCAGACACACATGGCTGCAGAATCACCAGGTAAAATCAATGCTTGGTTTCTAAGTAACGGGTCAGTAAAAGCCCTTTGTTCTTCCATTGCACTAATTGCCAAGTACAAGACAATGAACCAGCTCAGTCCCCAGCGCTGAGCTGGCAGAAGCCCCTGCAAACAACAGGGGATGGCTGGGGTAGCGGCTGGGATGGCAAGGTGAGCCAGTCCTGGCTCTGATGGAGCCCGAGGTGCCCAGTTGTCATTGGGTGCTCTGGCCATGCATGGCTGAGCATCCTCCCCGGGCAGAGCTGCTGGAGTGCCTGTGCCCGCAGGTACCAGGGCAGAGCACTGCCGAACGGCTGCATTCCCTTCCATGGGGACCCACCATGCAGAGGGAGCTCTGTGGGGCTGGCAGGGCGTGGGGGGACCAGCTGGGAATGGGTGGGGCCTGCCATCACCTTCATGGTGATTTCATGCATCATTTTCTTAGTAATTCTTGGTCAGCACATGGGCATTACCACCCTGGTCATCTCTCTGTTCGGCACTTGCTAATGCCAGCCGAGGAGGCCACGGGGTACCCTGGATAGACATAAGCATCCATGAGCAGCGCTTCCCAACACCCCGCTTGCAGGGAGCCAGTGCTATTCGCTGCCATTAAACCATCCTCTGTGTGCCTCGGAGTCCAACCTTCCCCACGTGGAGCGAGCCTCACAGATACCTGGCACCACTGTTGCTCAAGGCTCACGCTGATGCTGTTTAATCATTATACCAGGAGAAAAAAAAGCAGCTCTTTTCAAATTGGAAGTCAGCGCTGCCAGGGAACGAAGTGGCCATTAAAAAGGACATTGCAGGAGCCTCAAGCCTCTCAGGATTGCTTTGCCTAACCTAGAAGCAGCTGATTAAAAATCAGCTCTCTTATACATGCGTGTTTTTTTTCATTAGCACAGCTATCTTGCTTCTGCTTTCGCTGACATTCAGCTTCCCTTGCACTTCACAGACCTGGAGCGATGGCACTGCTCCCCACAAATCACTGCCCAGCCCTGCTGCGCACAGGAAAGCACCAAGAGCTCTGTCTGCTGCTTTACCCGGCTGCCCGGGCACCCTGATCCAGGACTCCATCCCTCCGGCCGCAGTCTGCAATGTGCCTTCCACTCTGCCTCGGGTGCCAATCTGAATCTGCCTTCATTTTCCTTACCCCAGCCTTGCACCAGGAGCTGGAACTGAGGGCTGCTGCACCAGCGTGCTGGCCAAACCCTTCTCCAGGGAGCAGGTATTGTTCTGCCCCAGGGCAGGGGACAGCATGGGGACACAAGCCCCTGCGAGCCCAGCCTGGCATGCTGGTTTAACACAGCTCTTCTTTCCCAGCACAAACCAAAGGTGATGTTTTCCCTGCCTATGAATCCGGGGGGTTGAGCTCACACAACCCTCCCCGCAGCACCAGCAGCTTCGCCAGATTGCGCTGGGCGATGGAGCGCCGGAGATGAATGCCTGATTCATTGAAAACACAGCTTGCAACTCAGGGATGTTGTTAAAAATACACCGAGGTACCAAAACAGCACGCGGGGGGGACGACATTTCCCTTGACTAGGCTTTTCCAAGCAGAGGGCACATCCATTCCCAAGGAAACGTGGGTTCTTGGCGGTGTTTAAGAGGCAGTGATGCAGGGAATGTCGCTCTGAGATGCCGGCTGTGGCATCCATGTGCCGGTGGCTGCTGCTAAATGCCAGCAAACACCGTGCAAACAACCATGCAGTGCGTGTGAATGGCCCTGGCAGGGAAAAGGCTAGGAAAGAGGCATGAGATTTGCTTTGGTGGCTTATTCCCATTCCCATCTCCCTTGTTTCCAGCAGACACACCACTCCAGCTCGGGATCAAGCATGGCTCCCTGTGTCCCACCACAACTGCTCATTTATAAATGGAGAGAAAAACCACAAGCAAAACCCATCACACAGCTCAGAATTAAGCACGTGAGGACCTATACTCAAGATACTTCAGTTCTGGACCCAACCGCAATGCTGAATATGCCCAAGTTAATTATTTTGCTAGAAACAAGTGGTTAAACAAGGTGGGGACTTAGGGGCTGACATGAGTCGGTGTCCAGGGATGTGGAGACCAGCCACCACGAGCAGAGCCTGGGTCCAGCCCTACATACATGCTCAAAGCCTTCAGATCCCCAAAGCTGGGGAGGGAAAACAGCATTTTGCTTGTTAGCCACTTTGCTGTGAGCAAAGTTACAGGCAAACCCCAAGAAAATGCTAGACAGAGACATATTTGAACAACGGGCAAGAGGAGCTTGTTAGTGTCAGAGGAACCAGGG